TTTCTAACCATTTAATGCAATAAAATGGAAAAGGTATTTTACTTGTCAAAGCAGCACACAAATAAGTAAAATTACTGTGATAAACACAACCACATGTTTTAAGTAGTGTGTCTTTGCACGTAAGAATGTATGTAGGCCTTAATTTACAAAACTTACTTAATTTAATTGTTTTGCCGGCACTTTCCTCACAATACAGTTGATGCAGCTACAATTTTAACACAATCTTTTTTTACAGAAGACATTATTGATATATCTTCTCTTTCATAAAAAGTTTTTACTTTTTCAATTTCTTCTGATGTAAAGTGAACTCGCTCTGTTTCTTTAGTAGTACATAGCCCATATTCAGCTCCTAACTGCTCTACAATAGTTCGTCTTTTATTTGGAGACTTTGGAAGAGCCTGTGTTGTCCTAAAAATGTTGATTGATATAAAACCTGAATTATACAAGTGAAATAATATTAAAAAATAAATGTTAATATAATTAACTACTTATTGCCTAATATTGCCAGATGGCAATAATGCCTTTCTCATTGGCGATTTGCAGTTATAAGAATTGTCAGGTGTAGAATTTAAACTGACGCTAGCATTGAAATCAATTTTTTTCTTGGTGTCAATAACTGTCGCTTTTCATAACTTCTCTTTCTTTCTTTCTCCAACAAATTATTTCTGTTTCTTGCTCTAAAAGCTTTTGATCTTTTAGCATCTGATTTAGGCATTTTTAAAATATTTAAAAATATCACAGCTTCTTTTAGTGATAAAGTGTTGTGAGGTATCTGTTATAGATTTAAACTTGATTTAAAAATTTGATTTAAACTTGATTTTAAAAAATCCCATGAAATGTTATAAATAAAAAAACAACAACCGCGAAATCAAATAAACATAAACATTGCAGTGCAAACTATAAACGATGTTTATTTTTAAAAAAATTTCCTTCCCTTTAAAAGTTACTATTCTTCTCTTTAAAAGTTACTATTCTTCTCTTCTAACTCTCCGCATCAATTGTTTGATTTTTTTTAAATTGTATTACTTATGATTTAAAAAATTTATATAAATTTTTTAAATTATATTGCTTATAACTTAAAAAAAGAAATAAGAAATACTTTATCGAGCTTTGTAATAAAACGAGTAAACAAATTAAAAACGAGACAATTAACAGAACTGATTTTTAACTTGGTTTAAATAATAAAATTATTTTTAACTTGGTTTAAATAATAAAACTGTTTGCGCTTAAACTTTATATAAAGTCAAGAAGCCATTTTGGAAAAACAAACATATCGTGATGGTCGTAACATGCTTAATAACGTTTTGAAAAGATGATCTAAAGCACTTTAAAAAAAAAATTGAAGCAATAAAATTTGTATTATTATCTTTACTTTTACCATAGTTGTAGTTTGATACAAAGCATAGAAAAAACATTAAGACTTTTTTTTGTGACGGTCATAACGTATTGTTTTCATAAATATATTCTTCTTATAGACCTAGTTAGAGTGAGTTTTTATAAAAAAATATTATGAATAATGTTTAATTTATCCTTTAATTCAAACTTAGAAGTAATAGTTACTTAAAAACACAGCACTGAAACCTTTTTCAACGCTTCACAACAGGGCTGTATATAAACGTTAAAAAATATTTATATAACCCTTACAACTTTATAACTATGTTAAGGTATGATAAAAGGATTTTTTTTAATAATTTTTTTTTTTAAGATATTCTTAAATAGTTGAAAAATAAATTTATTAAGTTTACTATATGTTGGCATACCATTTTTTTTTTGTCCTCTTTTACGTGGAATTATCTTTTTTTTGTCCTCTTTTACATGGAATATCCATATATATATATATATATATATATATATATATATATATATATATATATATATAATATATATATATATATATATATATATATATATATATATATAAATTAATTTCAAAATGAAACCATTATTTCTTAAATTAAACCCTCCTTCCCCATTCGATTAGTGCCACCCAAAACCACCCCTCACCCTCACCTCAATGAGTGGAGAAGAGGGGGGCTGACCACATACAGACTACTGATTACCTATAATAAAATAGAATTTAAAAATATAATGGTTTCATTTTGAAATTAATTTAGATATTTAGATATTAAGTATTTAAATATCTAAATTAATTTAGAGACCTTCATTTGATCCATAATGAAGGTTGCTAAAAAGTTACTTCCCTTTATTCATCCACATATCTACTATAAAGCCTAGATCAAGGAGAGGACAAAAAAACCATATTTTTTTTATGTCAGCCTTTTTGGTGTGGATTTGACAAATTTATAATGTTTGCATTTTCAGATAGTTGGATCTAATGGTCTCATATGCTGTTAATCTTAGGTTAAAAGTGTTAGAAAAATTTACAAGCATATCAAAATGGCTGAAAATTGGACTTTTTAGGCGAGTGAACATTTTGCTTTTGGATATATTTGAGTTCTAAACTGCAACAAGGTGCCTATATTTTTCCCATTTATTGCAGACAGTAGTAGCTAATCAGAAAACTTATCGGTAAAGACTTTTGGATAAATAATGAATAATAAATAATGCTATAGTTAGTTTCATTTTGGCATATTTTAGCAATTTTAGGATTTTTTCCAAAGTTGATAGGTCATAATTTTTTGAAATGGTGACTCACTGGTTGAAATATAATGATTTGACTTAGGGTAGATTAGGGTAATATGAGCACCTTGGTAATAGGAGCATACTTAAAGATTTATTAGATAAAAGCAGTGAAGTTAAAGTTGCTTTATGTTTTTCGTATCGACTTTATGTGTTGATAACAGGAATCAGTACAATTAGCGTAAATTTATACGCAGTAATTAGCGGATATCATCTAATTAAAATGCTTTTAAATTTTTTGCTTTGTTAAAAAAAATCATTACGCTTGAATAATTCTGTGGCGCGATATTTTGGTGCTAAAATAATGAAATTAATTTTTTCATAAAGAAAAATATATTAGCTAAAAATCCAATTCATTTTTGTTTGAAAAATAATGGATAGAAACATTTATTTTTGACTTTATTTAAAGATACCATTTTTATGTAATATGAGCATGCTCAAATTACCTTGTGCTTTTCATTGAAATTGGTTAGTTTAAAGTCCTAAAATTTTAATTGCTCTTGAATAAAAACAAAACATAGTAAAAAATTTTTATATATTAACAATACTAAATATTTTTCTGTAACTTAAATATAAAAAATTTTAATTTTTATTGTTCAAAGGTTTGAGTTAACAAAATTGAAAAAACAATATATTAATTTTTTTTTTTTTGCGGAAAACATAGTAGTATTGTTTCAACAAAATGTAGCTTAAAATTTGATCTTTTAATGATATGTTTTGTTAATCACGAATCTTTATATTCTAACAATTAGTTCTATTAAGCAGGTTGGTCTTTTTTTACTTAATTAATGCTACTTTTTTAAAACCTCAGTGTTTTTAAGAAAAAATGTCAAGTGCCCAAATATCTAAATAGATTATGAATAGGGATCCCTAAAAATTGTTTATTTGCAAAAAATTTTGATCCAGCATATTTATTTTTGAAAATATTCTAATTTTTGCTTAAGGTGCTCATATTACCCTAATCTACCCTATATATATACACACTACGGTTCATAATTATTCAAATGGCGTCAACTTTTTGAAAAATGCTATTTTTTATTTTACTATTTTTTATGTTTATTTTTGAACTTTTAGATAATTTAAAATTGTTTGGGTTAAAATGCTTTGATAAAAATTATAAGAATAATAAAAATGCTAAAGTGGGCAAAACTACATAAAAAATGCACCATCAATGAATTTGAACGCGGACCAACGTGTCAGTGTTTTAAATCTTTAGCTTCAAAATAATATTGTTTGTCCGGATAAAAAATCGTTGAATTTATAATAAAATGTGTATTATTGACTGTAAAACATGGCGGATGTAGTGTTAAGGTGTTTTGGTTAGAATACAACAGGTGAAAATAAATTACTAAAGTAATTTATTTGTACACTTAAAAAATTGTGCTATACATTCAGAAAGATGGGATAATGAGAAGCTATTAATTTTTTTAAAAGAAAATGAATTGAAGTTTGAATCTAAAATATATTTTTCAAAAATTTGTATTATTTAACTTGACTGAGTTCAAGAACGATCAAATATCAAATCCTCCCTAATAACAGGATCGCTCTCCTATAGGATTTTTATAAGTGGAATTAAAAGTAATGTCAAAAACGAATGCCAAATGATGCATAAGATGTGGACAAACCTTATTAGTGAGTGGTATAAAATTGACTTTGAAAAATTTGATAAGCTGTTAAGTAGAATGCAAAGAATATGTATAGCGGTTATTGTTGCTATGAGTGATTAAAAAGCAAGTAAATTTTACATTAATCTAATCGGACTTTTATTAATATTTTTGTAAACCTATTAAATGAAAAAAACCATACAATTTAGGTAGACTTTGCTCACAGTTTCTCTCCCAATAGTAAGTAAAAATATAATATCTTATTTCAGTAATGTATGTATATATATATATATATATATATATATATATATATATATTTAAACAATTTTAAAAATGTATTCTACAAAATAGAGTGCTCAATGTTCTTAAAAGAACAGAGCAATTATAAATTAGTAGAAAATCACTTAACAAAAATTTACATTGTAAACTCATTTGTATTAACTCAATTTGTTCATGAATCTATTATTAACAAAACATTTTTGTTAATTAAATATTAACAACAAACATAGTGTGACCAAGATACAACCCATATATTACACTATCTAAATAAAATAATAAAGTAATTTATTTATGAATTGTTTGCTTTAAAAAAAAAATACTATGATTTGTTACTTTAATGAAATTCATTAAAAATAATAAACTGTACATGCTGGACATTAAAAATAAATATGTAAAATGCATGTATAAATAACATTATCATTGATTTGGTCTCATTAATACTAAATGTTAATAGAAAAGTTAAAATAGAAAACTTACCTATTTGTTTTTCTGTTTTGTTTTATAACATCAGAACTATCTTGATCAATAACTAGCTTATGTAAAAATACAAAAAAAAAATTAAAATTTTTTTACTAAGATTTGCTTTTATTAAAACAAGGTATTTATAATTAAAAATGAATTAAAAAAAAAAAAATACAAAACATTTTAACAGTTGATTAATTTTTATCAATTAACTGTTAAAATTTCAGCTATTTCATTTCATGCCATAACTAAATTAATTTTAATAAAACTTAAGTTGATAGGAATATAATAATATTAGAAATTTAATAACATCATTGCTTTCAAGTAGTTTAAAAAAAAAGAAAAAAGAATAAATGAAATAATATTGCATGGATTGGTTATAGATAACAATATATAACCAATTGTATAAAAAGCTTATCAGTAAAAATATCTGCCATATGATACCATATGTAAAAAACAATTGAAAAAGAAAAAACAATACATTAAATTTTCCACATATTAAAAATGAGTTTTCCTATATTTAATTATTAGTTCCTATAGATTTTTTTGATTTTTGTTTTTTCTTTGTTCATTTTATGGAACACCATTATTTGGAAATCTGATTTTATGGTTTTAGCTTTAAACTCAAACGTTATGATAGGAACTCATAAGTAACAACGTAAACTCTGTAAAGAGATTTTAAGTAGAATCTAGATATCTTAAAAACAATAACAAAATACTTTTCATTTTTTATATGTTTTCATAAATAACTACCTGTTTATTAGACAGCTCAACCTTTCTGCTTGAAAAGCAAAAACCTAAAAGACAGAGTGATTCTCCAGCAAACATAATTAAAGTAACAATCCCAGCATGGTTGAAAGGTCTAAATGTTTTTCCATCAGAATCAAGTAATCCTTTAGATCTAAATATTTTAAAAACAATGATTTATAAAATGAGAATAAATTAGTTTATATACTTACTATACTATATGACATACTTAAACAACTATTATTTATAAACACAGTACAAATTATTTTTGTTACAACTATTATTTTTATAAATTCTATCAAATAAATGTCTATAATTAAAGTTGGCAAAAAAGATTCATTAATTCAAGTCAGTAATATTGTGATACAATATTACTGACCTGTCCTGCTGCTTGTATACTTTGTTTTTTATCACAATTTTAATGTAAAAACCTTTTAATACAGATTTGGATGAAGAAAAAACTAAAGATAATAAGCCTAATAAAACAAATATATTGAGTATGTTGTAAATTGTAGATTATAAAAAATTAAAAAAAAAAAGATTTTTAAATGCTAACTAAATAATTTTTATTGACTAACTTTTGCAGGCTTTCCTTATCTATTAGGCTACTATAGATTTAAATTTGTGTGTTTCAAAGTTGAATGCTGGATCTTCTTGACAAATTTCACAGATTCTTTTTTTTATCTTTTGAGGTGTAGCAATGTTCTAATTATAAAATGTATTTTTCCTATTCTTTTAATTCTTCCCCTAGCCTTACTACATATAATTTTATATAAAATACTCCAGCCTTGTTTTAAAAATTAAAAAAAATGTATATTATCAGGGCCTATTCTAGGAATAAAAATTGGGCGGCAGTAACCCCTCCCCCCCTCTTTTTGGCGGACTTTAGCAAAAAATCGGCGTTTTTTTTGCAATATTTGCAGTAAAAACGTACAAAAAAAGGGCCTCAAATATTAATTTAGGAGGTGCCCAAATATAGTCGACGCTGTCAAAAACTATCTAGAATAGCCCCTGATCATGTACCATGCTACTACCTAGGAAAAACTTTCTTTAGCATAAACTTTTAGGAAAAAACAAAATATTGTCTTCACATCCTTTTTTCACTTATTAAGAACCATTTGAATACAGAAATTTTGTAATATTGAAATTTCCTTAAATTTATTTTTTTAAATCACAAATGTAGTTGCATAAATTTAAATAAACACAATTACGTTGCAACTAAAAACAACCTCATAAATTTATACTGGATTAATCAAAGGTGAATAAAAAATAAATTAATTTATTTACAAATCATCATTCAAAAACATAAAACACACAAACGTACTGCAACATTGATTTAAAAACAATTTTCAACAAAAATGTAAATACAGACTAATGTAATGTAAATACACACTAATGTAATTTTTTGACTATTATGACTGTTTTAACATGATTCTGAAATCTGAAATATGGACAATTTTGGATATAAAAACAACAACAAAAAACATTATGAAGTCTCCATTGTAAATCTAATAAATTACTTAATTTTTTTAAATATATTAACAAAGAAGAGAATGGGGGACCATGAAATATGGGCACCATGAAACATTGTAATCATGGAGACATCTTAAGAGTTGTGACAACCACTTTCATATAGTGAAAAAGTTACTACTAGAGCTAAGTTTTGAAAACAACATTTAAACTGTTGAATAGTACTTAATTGTGTCATAAAAAATCAAAAAACATTTTATTTGATATTTGTAGTAAATTTTTTAAACATTTATATAAATATAATACAAGATCCTATTTCAATAGAAAGCCATTGGGTCATTCCAGCTCAATTCAATTTATGCTTGGCACCATGCCATCTCAGATTTTGCTGATTTTTGGAATACAAGCTTGAATTAATAAAAAAAAACTTCACTCCAAATTATAGTGTCTGACTCTTTACGGTTTCAGAGATATTGATACTTGGTCCCTATCTCTTTTTACAATACAAGCTTGAATTAATAAAAAAAAACTTCACTCCAAATTATAGTGTCTGACTCTTTACGGTTTCAGAGATATTGATACTTGGTCCCTATCTCTTTTTTGACTTTTTTTTTTCAGCGCCATTTATTTTTTAGGCTCATTGCACAACACATTTAGCTTTAACTTATTAAATACTTGTTTAACAGTGGTCAAAATTTCTACCTAACTATTTTTTGGGTGAGGAGCTTAAAGACCATGGCTAAAACACACAAAAACTCAATCTTCTATATAAAAATTTAATTTCAAAATGGTGTAACACTTTTAGTAAGTTTTTTGATGCCCTGATTAATGCTCTGAACAAAAAAATGTTTATCTCAAGGTGCCTAAAAGATAAAATTCTGAAATTTTTTCCTAATGTTCTATATGTATCAAACTCCATAGTACAAAAAATCTGGAAGAGTTTCCTTTTTTAAATTAGATTTATTTGCATTAAAAGTTTTATTTTAAAAATGAAGAAAAACTGTTATTTAATAATGAAAAAAAATAATTTAGATAAATTTTTTGCATTTTTTAAAAAGATTTTTAGAATCTTGCTGCCTAAGGTACAGTTCTAATATATAAACTTGATCGCATTTCACATAAAAGATCTTTTTTTTATTTAATCATTATGTTTAATAGCTAAAAGATTTTCTATTTTCAAATCTTCAAACAATAATTATTTTAAAATTGTTTCCTACAGAACTAAAAAATAATATAACAATATGAATGATAAAGAAAGATGTTTAATTGGAATAATAAATAAAGAAAATTGTAACAAACAAACATATGTAAAATCCAATGATATCAAGAAAGTTTCAAGTCTTAATGATGTGGAAAAAGACTTGATAATTAGTTGTTCTGCCATTCAATTTGATGAAAATGCAACGGTTTGCCTACACCATGAAAATGTTTATTTAAAACATTACTCCACAATCTAGATAACTTGATAGGATCCATTTAATTAACACAATGGAAAAAGAAGAAAAGGTATTATTACTTAACCATGAAACTTTTTTAAAACTTTATTTTAATTATATATAAATTATATATATTTTTGCAAAAAATTCACTAAAGCAGTAATTATCACTTATGTTTTTAGGAGGATGTAAAGAAATTAATATGCAACTTGCTGGGAATTTAAAAAATATTGGCAATAATGTTATTCCTGGAGAAAATATATGTGCCTCATGTATAATTAAATTGATATCATTTAAGGATGATGAGCAAAGAGAACCGACTTAAATATAGATCTTGAACAGTTAAGTAAAGAAAATTCCTTCAGTAAATTATCTAAGGAAGTTAAAGGTAAAGCAAATGATATGGATATACTTATTAGAAAAATCAAAGAAAAAATGTTAATTTCCAATCGTAATCAGAGAATTCAATAAATAATAACTAGTTCCAATTTCTTGGTCTCACAAAGATATAGAAAAAGAATTTAATGTTACTAATTATATGGTGCAGATATCACGCAAATTGCTGCAGAAAAATGGTATTTTATCTTTTCCTAAAAAAAAACTGAAAGGAAATACCTCAAGAAACAGTAGATAAAATTATTGAATTTTATTGTAATGATGAAAATAGCAGGCTAATGTGTAGTAAAAAAGATTTTGTTAGTATAGCTCGAAAATCTCACATGCAAAAGTGTTTGATTCTTTCAAATTTAAAAAAGCTATATGCAAAATTTAAAACCTGTTATCCAGATATAAAGAGCTGTTTTTTATTACTTTTGCTCACACTGTTCAAAATAGTGCATTAGCATCTGGTGCGCATACAGTATGTGCACCTACCATCAAAATGTTAAGTTAATAATTAGTGCAGTTAAATTATCAAAAGATTATCACTAGCTTATTAATATGCTTATTGATATAATGTTTGATAGACTTTGAATGCAAATAAATTTGATTTAAAAAAGAAAACCCTGCCAGATTTTTTGTATTATGGAGTTTGTTACATATAGAACATTAGGAAAAAATTTCAGAATCATATCATCTAGGCATCTCGAGATAAACTTTTTTTTGTAATACCATCAAAAACCTTAAAAAAATGTGTTACAACATTTTGAAATTGAATATTTATATAGAAGCCTATATAGAAGCTTAAACATTTTTACTCCAAAAATCAGCAAAATCTGAGATGGTATGATGCCGAAATTTTTTTTTAGTTGATTTTTTCGACGGAATGACCGCATTGACACTTAAATGGCACTTAAAACAAAATATTATCTGGTCTTCTGAAATGTTATTTAAACCATTGGATGCCTTTTTAGTTTGTAATTAATTTTTGTTTATATTTCAAGTAAAAATCTTTTCTCAATCTTGCTTACTTTTTATTTACTTATTTAATGATGCTCATAGGTTGTATAAATAGTGCTCTATTGGTAGAGTGCCTTGAAACACATTTTTAATTTTACTTTAAATAATCTAACAAATTTAACCTGTTATATTTTGGTAATTTATAAATTTAATTTTTTATGTAATAATTTATTCTACAAAATTAATTAACTGCCTGAAAAAAAGACATTGAAAAAATTGTTACAAAGCAAAATTTAAAAGTGTATTATGGTGCCCCACCAATATATTGATATATACTGTTATAGCTTAAATATAAATATTTAAGTTATCACAATAGACATTTTCCTAGAATAGCCCCTGTATATATTTATATACAGGGGCTATTCTAGGAAAATAATTTGGGCGATGGAACCACCGTGTCGGCATCTGCTGTAAGTAAATTGCCAAATGTAAGCATTTTTTCATAAAAGAAACAATACTTGCAGTAGAAAAAAAAAAAATTACTTAATTTATGAATTTAGGTGGTACCCAAATACAGTCAGTGCTGTCGAAAACAGTCTAGAATAGCCCTTTTTATATATATGTATATATATATATATATATATATATATATATATATATATATATATATATATATATATATATATATATATATATATATATATATATATATATATATATATATATATATATTTATATATTAGGGTGTGTCATACTTTTTTTTTTTTGAATTTTGACTCGCATAATTTAAAAAAGGGTGAGGTATAATATTACAAGTTTAGAACCGTCAACAAAAAAAAAAAAAAAAAGTTTTAGCTACCAGGGAACCAGAGACACTATTTTACCAAAAACCCTGGGGGAGGGGGAGGTA